TAAACAAAAGCTATGCAAATGCTTAAAAAAAGGGAAAAAGAGTTTTTTTTCCCTTTTCTTTAAGTAAATTGGAAATGTACAATACACAGATAAGAAACCAAACTAAGCAGTTTTAGAGGTCAATCATTAGTCTCTCTATAAATATTTAATACTCTTTCAGCTCCACTGGATATATACACAGTTCTTTGGAGACGAGAATATTGTAATAAGATATTAAAATTTTATACAATGCCACAGCTGAGGTGATTGTCAGAGTGAATGTGTGATTTTTTTTTCTAGGCACTTTAAAAGTTTGCTGAATTTAAAAAAAAAAAATCACCTAGAGCTTAAAAGAGGTTGTGGGAGAATAAGGTGAGATTTTGCAAAATGAGGGGATATGAGGTGAGGTGAGTTGGTCTTTATGATCAAAATACATAGAAATAAAACGACATCCTATATTTACTGTTAAAGAAGAATACAGGAAGTGAAATGAAGTATTAGCATTTTAGATTTTTATAGAGATTGCACATGCAAAATAATGCTATAGAAGGTTTAATTGTTTATAAAAAAGAAGTGATAAATAGTGGTGTTGTATTTCAAATAAAACACTTATCTTGAAAATAAAAGAACTAAAGAATAATATATTAGAAGAATTTATTTAGAAGAATTTGGATGTTGGACATATAGAAAATGGCTGCTGCAGTGAAGTTCAGTAATAATGGAGGTGGTAGGTATATGAGTGATTGACTTCCTCTCATTCAAAGTCTGAACCTTCACTACCGTACACCAGGTACACACACAATGGGGCTGATATACTAAAGGAAAATACGTTGTTCACCTTACAATGGAAGTTGCACTGTGAGGGCCAGTTCACACTACATGCGTTTCAGTATGCTTTTTTTCTGCATCCAAAACACTCAGAAAGTAGGTTATATGGTTGTCAATGTTATAGTTCTCATCAGTGCTTGCCGTTCCAGTGTGTACTGGTTTATAGGAAAAAAAAGTAGAACAGGCTGCATTTTTCCTGCACAGAACTGTACTGGAATGTGGTAAAATATATAAAAAACACACCAAAATGCACTGGAACGCGCCAAAAACTTGCATGCGGAAAAGCATCCAGAACACATCTGGACTGCGTTTCTATGGTGTGAACCAGCCCTGAAAGCGGAGTTTCCCCAGAGCTTAGTAAATGTGACAAAGTTTCACTTTGCAAAGAATACCCAATCATGTGAAGAAAAAGAAAAAAAATGGTGTTTTGTTTGGATGATGGAAGTCAACAGAGCTTCACCTCATTCACAAGCTCCAGGGAAAACTCCCTGCAGACTGAAATTTCTCTTGCAAAGTGAAGTATTTGCCTTTAGTAAATCAACCCCATGGGGAACGGAATCCCCAGAGGCCAGAGGACAGACTGGCCTCTACAAGCTGCACTGGGGAGGAGGTGATGTCACCAGAGGGAGAAAGTGGGCAGAGAGCCCAAAAATGTCAGCTTCTCCTCCTCTCTGCCTGTCCTTGCAAAGGTGAAAAGTTGGAGCAGGGACAGTGGTGAAATAAGCAATGACAGAGTTGCTAGCTGCCAAAAAAGTGCAGTGTCTAAGTGCAGTGTCTTGGGTGTTGGGATGCAGGGAGTTTCGTAGTCAAGGCTGCAGGGGCGTTCAGAGTCAGGAGTGACTGGGAGATGTCAGAGTAGAGCATGCCAGTGGTATGTGGTTCTTCAGCGGCTCACATATAAGGCTGTCTCCCTGACCATATCGCCTGCTGAGATAAATGCAAGAGTGTTTAGTTAGCATGGGGAGAGAGCTCATTAGAATTGAGTCATTAAAACTATAGTTAGCCTTTAAGCCCCTTCAGACCTATGTGTGGTGGTTATATTTGTTTTACCACAGCAGTGACACAAGGTGGTTCATTACAGTTCCATTTAATTTAGAATAGCAACCCAATGCAAGAGTACCATAGGAGCCAATGGACTCACAATGCAGTGCACTAAAAACACACATTCCTTGCATTGTGGTAAGCTCCATTACAACAAAAAGGTGCATTTTCTGGTTTTCTTTTGTTGCCATGCATCAACAGCCCATTCTTAAGGATGGCTTCCCAGTCAACACATGTAAATTACTAAATATGCACAACAAAGGAACACCATAGTGTAAAGGGGCCATAATATTTTTATATGCAAGGTTGACCATGTGATGTGTGGACTACGAGGCCCTAGGAGCGACTTCTCAAAATGGCAGGCACTTTCCATGTGCATTAAGAAACCTCCAACTTATTAAATCTCAGCTGCTGAATGCACATGCACGCTGCGCCTGGAACGGACATGCTCTGACCACGCTCTGTATACCCCGACCTTCTCTGCTATACTTAGCATTTTGGGGTGCAGGACGAAGCCCGCTGCAGGCACAGACAGCTGGGGGAGACCAAGATGAACTGCAGTTTGGCAGGAACAGCTAAAAAGAAGCCTCCATACCTGCCAAAGCAGCCCTGTTCGGTGCGCCAGTCTCCCTCACATATACAGCAACCCCTGGCGGCCAAGATGGTGCCGGTACAGCAGCCTGTGACATGAGGCAGCCCACCACCACAGCAAACTTCGCTCCCTTCAGAGCTGACAAAATCCAGGGGAAGATGCTGTGTGGGACCCTTTTTCTTCCCAATCCCAGGAGGAACAATTACCATCATCTCCAGGTGAGATGTCGCAATTCTCTCCCTCCTCTGCTTTTCCGGGGCAGACATAGATGGGAATGTACCTTCACCTGTATGAGCAAGAACATGGCTGAGCTGGCCAAGATAGCCTTATGCCAAACTAGCTCTGTGACTGACCACCTGCCTATACCTCCTGGCTCCTATTCTGTAGATAATGTACTCATTGCCAGATTTTCTGCCTTCCTTTCAGTCTTTGCAGATGACACCAAGCTGTGCAGTGAAATAACATTATTATACAGGATTTATAATTATACAGGATTTATATAGCGCCAACAGTTTGCTCAGCGCTTTACAATATAGTGGGAGACAATACAGCAAAAATACAGTTCAATACAAGAGGGATAGGAGGGCCCTTCTCCTCGGAGCTTACAATTACATCCTTCATAACATGTCTTCAACTTACAAGCTGACCTCAATGCACTGTTTAATTGGGCAACTATGTGGCAAATGAGGTTTAATGTTGATAAATGTAAGGTTATGCACCTGGGGGCTAAGAATATGCATGCATCATACATACTGGGGGGGTAGAAATGGGGGAATCAATGGTCAAGAAGGATCTGGGAGTTCTGGTAGATCACAAGCTTAATAATGGCATGCAATGCCAAGCTGCGATTTCTAAAGCAAGCAAAATCCTCTCTTGTATTAAAAGAGGTATAGACTCCAGAGAGAGAGAGAGATATCATTTCTCCCAGAACAAATCATTAGTAACACCTCATCTGGAATATGCAGTTCAGTTTTGGGCACCAATTCACAAAAAGAACATTAGGGAGCTGGAGCTGGAGAAAGTACAGAGAAGGGCAACCAAACTGATAAGAGGCATGGAGGAGCTCAGCTATGAGGGAAGATTAGAGGAACTGAATTTATTCTCTCTTGAGAAGAGGAGACTAAGGGGGCATATGGTCAACATGTATAAATACATCAGTGGTTCATATAGTGTAGAGCTAATCACCCTGAGGTCATCACAGAGGACAAAGGGGCTCTTTACATTTGGAGGAAAATAAATTTAATCTCCAAAGACGGAAAGGTTTCTTCACAGTGCGAGGTGTGAAAATGTGGAATAGACTCTCTCAAGGGTTGGTTCTGGCCAGCTCCGTGGATTGCTTTAAAAAAGACCTGGATTCTTTCCTAGATACACAGAATATAACTGGATACTAACATTTATAGGTAAAGTTGATCTAGGGAACAACCTCTCAGGGGATCAGGAAGGATTTTTTTCCATGCAGGAGCAAATTAGTTCATGCTTTGCTGGCTTTTTTGTCTTCCTCTGGATCAACTGTGGGTATAGGATTCTAACTTCTTTTTTTTTAATGGTTGAATTGGATAGACTTTTGTCTTTTTTCAGCCAGACTGACTATGTAACTATGTAACCAACCAAAAGAGACGTTTCCTAAAATCTCTACTTTCCCATCCGACAAACCGTCAAATGAAATACCGCTGGGCTTTCCCGTTTTTACCTATCCTTTATGTACAAAGGGAAGGCGCACTCCTTTACTAGCCCCCGGTATGGTGATGAAGTATTACTAAGATTTGTCCTGCTTTCACGTGGATCCCCATCCAGGCCAACCTCGACATCACCATCTAGACCAATTTTGCCATTGTGATCTCAACCTCAACCAGCATCGAGAAAGTTTCTATCGAACACTTGAATAATTTCCTGGGTTGCAACTTCTACGCACCATCTCCTGGCGACAAGCCTGGCATGACAGTCTCAGGCTTCCTCACCTTACCTGATTGGAACACCCGCTGAGCATCTTCCTCACTTCTAGCGGAACCTCTATGCAAAGGATTACCACATAATCCTACAGGCCTAGGCTGTGCACTAGGAGGGATGAATATTATCCGACTACCCCTTCTCCCTTTCCCTTCCTCCCCCTCTTGCCTTTCCCACCTCCCCTCCCTTCCCCCCCCCCCTCCCCTGAGCACAACTGTATACAGTGCTCAGAATAAATGAGTACACCCCATTTGAAAAGTAAGATTTTAATCAATACCTCAACACAAGAGCAATTTCCAAAATTTTGACAAAACAGAGTTTTATAGAACATTTGTTCATTACATGAAAGTAAGGTTGATAATATAACTTAGATTACAAAATCTTCAGCTTTACTAAAATTAGTTGATGCAAAAATGAATACACTCCCCAACAAAAACTACTACATCTATTATTTTGTATGACCTTCATGATTTGTAAAGACAGCACCAAGTCTTCTAGGCATGAAATGAACAAGTTGGTGACATATTGCAACATCTATCTTTTTCTATTCTTCAAGAATGACCTCTTTTAGAGACTGGATGCTGGATGGAGAGTGATGCTCAACGTGTCTCCTCAGAATTCCCCTTAGGTGTTGGACTGGGTTCAGATCAGGAGACATGCTTGGCCTTTGAATCACTTTCACCCGGTTCTTCTTCAGAAATGCAACAGTGGCCTTAGATGTGTATTTTGGATCATAGTCATGTTGGAAAAGTGCACAATGACCAATGGCACAGACAAACGGTAGCATCTTCTCTTTCAAAATAGAGCAGTATATCTGTGAATTCATGATACCATTAATGCAGCCCCAAAGTGGGACGCTGCCACCACCATGTTTCACTGTAGGCAATATGCATTTCTCTTTGTACTCCTCACCTTTGCAACACCATACAGTTTTGAAGCCATCAGTTCCAAAAACATTTATCTTGGTCTCATCACTCCAGAGTACAGGCTCCCAGTGGTCTTCTTCTTTTTCAGCATGAGCCCTGGAAAATTATAGGTGGGCTTTTTTGTGCATGGGCTTTAGAAGAGGCTTCTTTCCTGGACGACACCCATGCATGCCATTCCTCTGCAGTGTACAATGTATTGTGTCACGGGAAACAATCACCCCAGTTTGGTTTTCTACTTCTTTAGCTAACTGCAGTGAACTTGCATGGTTATATTTTTTCAACCCTTCTCATCAAAAGATGCTCCTGTCGAGGTGTTAATTTCCCTGGATGGTCAGGACGTCTCTGTGAGATGGTCTATCTATATATATATATAAATATATATATATATATAAAAAATTTTATATATAAAATGTCTTCATTTTCCAAAAAATTGTGACAAAAAAAATTAAAACGTCATAAAACTAACCATGCTTATTATAAATACCTCAGACTGTCTACTTTCCAAAAAGGAATCATTTGGGGGGCCCTCAAGAAATGAAATAGGCAGTCATTACCACAGGACTGATCAATTTTCAGATATATATAATACTATAGTTTGTAGACATAACTTTCACACAGACTAATAATATACACTGATTTGGGTTATTTGTACTAAAGAAATGAAGATATGAAGATAAATATACAATATAAACATTTCATTTGAGTACAATGTTGTATAACTGAGTAAATGTCATTCAAAGCGTGACAGCACTATAAGCTGAAAAATGGCCTTGGCAGGAAGGGGAAAAGTGTCTGGTTTTGAGGTGGTTAAAGCAGAGTTTAATTGTACACATTTTTGGCAAAATAACCACCATGCATTATTTCAAAATATACACATATATTTGTCTTTTAATTTAACTTAAAGGATACTCTTTCAAACAACGCTGTCTTACCATTTGCTCACCCTATCCCCCTCACACTGTTCTGACCTACTCCACCCTCTTCCTACTTTGTTAATACTCACAATCTACTAGAATTCAAGTCACAATGTTTACTTGTGGTCGGTGCATATTCTACTTTCTGCTGCCTGTGTAGTAGAATCTATAGACTTCTATGGATCCAGGAAACGGAACTGTTTCTTGGTCCCATAGAAGTCTATGGAGTTCTACTGCACATACGTAGAAAGCAGGACACAGGATTTAGGGACAATGCTGTCCATCTGTAATATGTAGCGGCCTTTTCACATACTGGCAGTCAGCTACTGCTACAAAGTCCCTCAACACTAATAGCTTATTTGCAGCTTTCTTCAGTAGATAATGTGACATGTAGGAACCAAAGATTAGTTATTAGTGATACAAGATTTCCAGTGCTAGGAGATGATTTCAAAAATCGCTGCAGATTGGAGATCAGCAGTGCTATCGCTAAGTGCCAGTTCCACTTTGGGGGTTGAGTAGAGTCTTTGTTATATGCCAAAATGGTGTCAATACCTGGCACTAGCTTAATAATGGCAGGAAGACAATAACATTGTTTACCACTATGAAGTATAAAGTTAGAATCAACATTTAAATGTTCACTAGCACCATCCACAACAGCCATACCCAGTGGGAAATGCAGCCAATATGGTCCCTGCAGCAGGTGAGTCTATGTTGCAATGTGTAACCTCACTACCCCTCAACTTCTGCTGTGACTTATCTAGGCATACAGGCACTGTAACTTCTTCCCTAGCAGCTCACATCACTAACACCCCACCTAAACTCTGCTGCTGGATGGGAGGACTTTATCTGGTGTTAAAGCTAACAGCTCAGCATGAATTCATCATTTTCCACTCCACCTGTAACCATCCCCTCACCATCACTGCATCAGGATCTCACCATCATTGTGCATTCACACCTTTCTCAACACCATTCCTGTAACTTCCCCATAGCTGCACCATTATGCCATTGTTCTGTGTTCTCGCTACCACTATCTGACTACCATCTTCCTCCTCCTTCCACACCACACCTGGCTACCAACCCTGCCCCACCACCACCACCACCACTACCACTACACCTAACCCCTTCCCTCTCCTCCTGTTCTCACCAACTTTCCCACACACCCTCACTTCATTCAGCCTCTGTAGCTACTGTCCCTGCACCAATGCTTGCCTCAGTACCAGGGGCGGACTGACAACTCATGGGGCCCCCGGCAATAGGAGATCATGGGGCCCCCTGTGTCCCTGCCCACTCAAGCTGCACCCACACAAAGCCGCACCTACATATTACACTGCCCGCAATACATGCGTTTGTCACAGAATTTCTCTACAGTATGTTCAAAATAAATGTTTCTTATACAAAATAAAGATTTAAAAAACTTACATTAAACAGAGCGCAACATTTCAAAATGAAGGTTTTAATTAATTTTTCCTATTCCTTCCACTGACACCAATGATAGGGCACTATTCCTCCCACTGACACCAATGATAGGGCACTATTCCTCCCACTGACACCAATGCTGTGGCACTATTCTTCCCACTGACACCAATGATAGGATATTATTCCTTTCACTGACATGAATGATAAGGCACCATTCATCCCACTGATACCAATGATGGGGCATTATTCCTCCCACTGATACCAACAATGGGGCACTATTCCTCCCAGTGACACCAAAGGTGGGATGCTATTCCTCCCCCTAATACTAAACATACATGGTTTACTCCCACTGATGCCAGGACCACTGATCCCAAAGACCACAGTCCGGCCCCCAAAAACCTGAAGGACAGTAAACTCGCCCTTCTATCTAAATTTGGGGTCTCCAAACTTTCTAAACAAAGCATATTCATGTGTTAGAATGGACCAGTCACAGTCCAGACCAAAAACCAATGGAGAATCTGTGGCCAGACCTGAAAATTGCTGTTCACAGACGCTCTCCATCCAATAACAGAGCTTGAGTGATTCTGCAAAGAAGAATGGGCAGAAATGTCCCTCTGTAGGTGTACAAAGCTGGGAGAGACGTCCCCAAAAAGACTTGCTGATGGAATTGCAGCTAAAGGGGGTCCTACAAAATACTGACTCCTGGGGGCTGAATACAAATGCCGCCACACTTTTCACAGATTTATTGGTCACAAATGTTGGAACCATTTCTCATTTTCCTTCCACTTCACAATTATGTGCCACTTTGTGTTGGTCTATCATATCCAATCCCAATAAATACATTGTAACATGACAACATGGTGGACATTTCAGGGGGGGAATACATTGTAACATGACAACATGGGGGACATTTCAGGGGGGGGGAATACATTGTAACATGACAACATGGGGGACATTTCAGGGGGGAATACATTGTAACATGACAACATGGGGGACATTTCAGGGGGGGAATACATTGTAACATGACAACATGGGGGACATTTCAGGGGGGGAATACATTGTAACATGACAACATGGGGGACATTTCAGGGGGGGAATACATTGTAACATGACAACATGGGGGACATTTCAGGAGGGGAATACATTGTAACATGACAACATGGGGGACATTTCAGGTGGGGAATACATTGTAACATGACAACATGGGGAACATTTCAGTCGTGAGGAATACTTTTTCAAGCCACTGTATAAATCACTGATATCTGTACACTGAGTGCTATTCCTTATATATAACACTGATATCTGTGCACTGGGTGCCACTCAGTATACAGATATCACTGTTTTATATAGGGAATATAGAATAAAAGACTACTAGTAACCATTTGCCTACCGGGCACTTATGCCTCCTTCCTGCCCAGGCCAATTTTCAGCTTTCAGCACTGTCACACTTTGAATGACAATTGCACGGTCATGCAACACTGTCCCCATATGAAATTTGTATCATTTTTTGGGACAGATAGAGCTTTTTTTGGTGGTATTTAATCCCCTCTGGGTTTTTATTTTTTGCTAAACTAACCAAAAAACAACTGAAAATTTAAAAAAAAAGGTTTTTTTTTTTTGTTTCTGTTATAAAAGTTTGTAAATGAGTAATTTTTCTCCTTCACTGATGTGCGCTAATGAGGCTGCAGTGATAGTCACTGATAAGGTGTCACTGATGGGCATTGATAGGTGGCACTGATGGGCACTGATGAGGATGCACTGGTAGGTGGCACTGATGGGCATTGACAGACATCACTGATTGGCACTGAAAGGCAGTACTCATATATGGCACTGATAGGCAGCACTGATTGGCGCTGTTAGGTGGCACTGATAGGCGGCGCTGATTGGCAGCACTCATAGGTGGCACTGACTAGCACTGATAGGCAGCTCAGATGGGCACTGATATGTGGCATTTATGTGCACTGGTAGGCACTGATATGTGGCATTGATTGACACTGATATGTGGCATTGATTAGCAATGATATGTGGCATTGATGTGCATTGATTGGCACTGACAGGTGGCATTGATGGACACTAACAGGTGACATTAATGGACACTGACAGGTGGCACTGATGGGGCTACACTGATCATCAGGGCACTGATTACTGCTCTGATGATCAGTGTAGATGCCCCCTCTGAGGAATGCCGATTACCGGCTCTCCTCTCCTCACCAGCTGTCAGCGTGACAGCTGGTGAGGAGAGGAATGCCAATAACTGGCATTTCCTTATTTACATGCGATCAGCTGTGATTGGACACAGCTGATCACATGTCCGAGTCGACGTCTTCGGCTCTTTCCGCTGATCAGTGATCCGCTGTGTCCCAGGGACACAGTGCCACACCGATCGTTGGAGTGGGAGGATGTCATATGATGTCCTCCCAGAACAAGAGAACTGCTGCCCGCCTGTCATTTCCTTATATGGCGGGCGGGAGGCGGTTAAGCTGCAGTGCTGTCAGTGTCACCGGGGTCGGGGGATTACACACTGACCTGCTGCAGGATACAGGGCAGGTCAGCACAACGATGACTCCGCTCTCTTCTCTGGCCACCTGTCCTGTGGCAGGGATGTGGGGACCTCCGAGGAGAGGTATCTGAAGTGCCTGCCGCGGCACTGCCCCCTGTTGCAACACTTCCTTTTTTTCCTCCTTTCAGCAGCGGCATATCCAGAGTACAGACTTAGCCTCTCATGGGGCCCTCTAGTGACCCTGGGCCCTTGGTCAGTGCCCGAGTGCCAAAATGGTCAGTCCACCCCTGCTCAGTACTTGCCACCACTGTACCAACACACACCACTGTTATCTCTACCAGTACATTGATGCGCCTTCTGTGTTTAGCCTGTTCAATGAACAATAACACTTTTGCTAGTTTAAAAAAATGAAACAATGTTTTGTTGGCATAATTACATCCTCATGTAACACTCCTATGCCAGC